GCTACCTATCTTATTAATAGAATGTCTTTGCGAATCTTGAATATTAAAAGTCCTACGGAGTTTTTGTAAGAAAAAAATTCCTATATCATCCCCCCAAAAAATGTTTGGATGTGTGTTCTTTATTCATACTAGAAATATGGGTAAGTGAAAACCTATACCTCTCAAGTGTGCATTTGTATTCTCCTACTCAAAAATGTTACAAGTGTTATCATGTGTCGTTTAAAAAATATTTTATAACTACGAATGTTATCTTTAGGAAAACTGAGCCTTACTTCAACTCAAACCCAACACCTCTCCAAGGAGAGAGTTGGAAGAAAGAGGTGATACCCAATTGGGTAACCAATGATAGTCATATTCAGGAAGAGAGTTCTATTTCAGAAGGTCTTACTCAAGAAGAAAATGTTGGACATCTGGATAAACCAGACTTGAAAAAGTATTCAATGAGAGATAAGTCAGAAAAAAACTATCATGCAGTTTATCCCAGATCAAGAATTTTTTTTGGTTCCAGAAGATACTAATGAGTTATCTTTCCCTTATGATTTATTATATAAACCTATTGTTATTAGAAAATGAATGAGAACTTGCACTAAGCACCTATATCTAATTTTGTTTCCTATGACTCTTTATCTCCCTCCTATATCCCTTTTGTCTTATCTATTTCCTCTGTGTTTATTCCAGAGAATTAAAGAGAAACTCTACAAAATCCCAAGTGAAAGGAAGTCATGATTGAAGAAATGAAAGTATTGACCAAAGGTAAAACATGCGAACTTGTTTTACCTCCACAAGAAAAGAAGATGTTTGGTTGCAAATGGGTGTTCACTGTAAAATACAAAGCAGATGAAACAATTGAAAGTTACAAACCTAGATTGGTGGCTACAAGATTTACTTAGAGCTATAGAGTTGACTATCAGGAGACCTTTGCACCTGTTGCGAAAATGAACACAATTAGAATACTTCTATCTTTTGCAGCTAACCTTGATTGGGATCTACAATAGTTTGATGTAAAAAATACATTCTTCCATAAAGACTTAGAGGAAGAGGTATAAATGAAAATTCCACCTGGAGTTGAAGATGAAAGGACTTAAGAAAAAATTTGTAAATTAAAAAAAGGCATTATATGGATTAAAGCAATCTCCAAGAGCATGATTTGAAAGGTTTAGAAGTGGTATGATCTCTTCTGGATATCAACAAAGCAATACTAATCATACTATGTTTATCAAACATTGTGAAGGTAAAGTCATTCTTCTCATTGTTATCTAAATGATATTGTGGTGACTGAAGATGATATATAAGAAATGGCTCGACTGAAAGAACTTCTTACTCAAGAGTTTGAAATAAAGGATCTAAGAAAATTACAATACTTTTTGTGAATTGAAGTTGGCAGATTTAATAAAAGAATATTCATTTCTCAAAGAAAATATATTCTAAACTTACTAAAAGAGACTGATATGATGGGTTGTAAACTGGCAAAATCACTTATTGAGAACAATCATAAACTACAAGCAGGTAGTGGTACATCAGTCGACTTGGAAAGTTATCAGAGACTAGTTGGACGACTCATTTCTTTCTCACATACCAGACCTGATATAACATATGTAGTTAGCCTGATAAGTCAGCACATGCATGATCATTACAAAACTCATTTACATGTTGTCTTTCACATATTATAATACCTGCAATCTGCACCACGAAAATGTTTGTTCTTTTCTAAATATGGTCACTTTGAGCATTTACAGATGCCGATTGGGCTGAAGTTCTGGATGATAGAAAATCAACTACAAGTTACTGCACACTTATAAGAGGCAACCTGGTTACATGGAAAAACAAGAAGCAAAGTGTAGTAGTCCGCTCTAGTGCTGAAGCAGAATATAGAGTAATGACACAAGAAGTATGTGAATTACTATGGTTGCAAAAGCTACTGAGAGACCTAAAATTGCTAAAAGATGAGAAACTACCCTTGTTTTGTGACAATAAAGAAGTCATTAACATTACTCATAATCCAGCTCAACATGACAGAACAAATTACATTGAAATTGATCGACAATTCATAAAAGAGAAAGTAATTGATGGCTCCCTATGTTTATATCATGTATATTCTGGTGATAGGTGACAGATATCTTCACTAAAGGATTATGTAATAAATCTCTTCAAAACTTGTTTTGCAAATTGGGCATGTGTAATATCTTTGCACCAACTTGAGAGGAAGTATTGAGAAGGATTTCATGTTAAATAGGATATCTTGTTAAATAAAATATTTTATTATTTAGAGTTCTAATAATAAAGTAATATCATATAATTAGAATTCTTCTAAAATAAGAATAATTCTCTATATCTATATTCTAAATGTAAACACAAAAAATAAGAAATAAAAATATAATATATTTTTTCTCCAAAAATCTTCACAAATTGATTGTATCTACATGAAAAAAGAAAAGAAAAACAAATTGCAAAGACATAAACGACACACCATTGTTAGATTACTACCGAAAACTGCTATTAACTACCAAAGTTTGTGAAATCCATCGGCTAATATGATTATCAAATTTTTGGAAGCTAACAAAACTTAGCAAGGACCAACAAAATGCACCGGTAGTCTGATAATGCTATCTACCAGCTTCTGACATTAATTGCATAATGGAGATAATTTTATTTAACGCTATGGTTGGAACAACTCCGAAGTTTGTCTTGAATTCATTTACAAATTTACACACAGTTCAACTGGAAAATGGTAAAAATTTATAAAATGATAAAAAGTAAACTCACATAAAATTCTATCTGTAGTTGAAACAAAGCATTCCAATTCCATCAGTTTTGATATCATTTATTTTTTTGTTATGACTGATTTTTACATTATAATCTCAGCTTCCTTTCCATATGTTTCTGCAAAGAAATAGTTTGATTTATCAGCCTCGACCTGGTTATTTGCTTTTAGGCATTATGCTGTACAACAGAACCACTTTCTCCAGAACCAGATTCTTTCCCAGGAGAAAAAAGCTCTGTGATCGGAACTCGAGAGGTCTCAGCAATATCACAAATCCAAAGGCAAATTCTCCCTGCACACTGCATACTCATCCCCTCTTCCTGCACCCTCCCCCTCAACCCCCACTCTAGTCCCCACCCAGAGAAAAGGAAAGGACTAAAGGAAAAGAGAAACAACAAGGACTGAAACCATCTTCAGGTTAACATAACCACTTGACAAATTCTTTTGTAAATCTTTCTTCTTCAACTAAATATATTATTTGTGTAAAAGCGAATATGTATATAAGAGAAAGTGAACGTACCTTCTGTATCACACGACAACCATACATCTGTAAACTTAAAGGTAACATCTGGTGGACAAGTTGATCAGCAAGCTCCTTCCTCTGCTCGGGACTTCCATATTCAAAGAACTGTAGCCAAAGAAACTGGCGTTTATGAGCCAAGAACACATGTAACTTAGAGAGCTACCATTGTAGCTAAATACTTTCTTTAAATAAATATATTGCATACCTTCTGAATAACATAATTTCCAAAGACATCTGTCATTAATTTCAAAGCATGTTGAATAACCTCCTTGAAAACAGATGCCTTTTCTTCATCCTTGCAATGCTCAAGTTTCTGCTGAATAAAACGGCTTCCATGTTGATCAACACTACAAACATTTATACTAAATCATTTCCATATTCAACTAATATAGAAATCACATGAAATAGGCACATCGAAAAAACTGTGTGTGGAACACTACCTAAATTCGACTATACGGCCAGTGAAATCAGAGAGTTCAAATTTTTGAGAGTTGCTAGATTTTAGTTCTTCAAGAAAAGAATGTCTCTTCGTATCATCAATAGTACTGATTCCTCTCTGGCCTTGCCATCCAGAATATGCTGCTGCACTTCTATTTGGACCCAGAGAAAATTTCATTTCATTTTGCCTACCTAGATAATTCATTCCAGCCATTGATGATGTTGGTAGCAGAGGGCTAGAAAGAGGTGATGCAGGAAATTGTGCCATGACACTCATGCTCGTAGGACCGCCATAATAACTGCTTCCAGGAACTCCTACTTTTCTTGGACTTGGCAAGCTAACACCCCCATTTGTTGAAAGTTGAGTTTTCTGATCTCTCAGAAAGGCAGTGAATGATTCTTTCTGTGCATAGGATTCAGGTTGACCACCAACACTATTTGATATTAAATGGGCATGACGAGCTGAAGCATCATAGGTATGCCCAAAAGGATGTTGAAAATATTGCATCTGAAGAGGATCCATAAAAGAAGTTTGCAACACCAGTCCATGTTGTCCATAAAACTTGCCTAGATGTCGCATATCACCTCCATGAGGAAGAGTTGCTCCTGCTGAAATACCAGCAGTAGTATTGTAGCTTGGACCAGAAGAAGCATCAAATGCTACAGGAATTGTACCATGTGACTGGTATCCAGACATAAATGGGGGAAGAAGTGCAGAACCCAGAGGATAACCACCCAGACTGTATTGTGGAGTATATAAGCTAGATGGTTGAAGATTAGGATAAAATGGATTCCCTGAGGACATATAGGCAGCTGCTGTTGCGTACAATGGAGGTGCAAGTGCAGGAGAGTGCAATGGTGATTGTACCTCAGACGAAGACAACCTAGAATGTGTGTGCATAGCTTTTTCCATAAGACTATGTGAATCATTGATCCCTTGAGAAATTGCTTGAGCCTGGAATCCTTGAACTAGATATGGGATGCCTTGTTGAGCAGATGGATATTGTGGAGGCATATTCCTTCCATAAGATTGTTGCTCTTCTTGCTTTTTACTCATTATAGAATCCAGTCTGAGGATATCTGATTGTGGAACACCACCAGCATCATCGTCCAGTCCATTATCATTTGTGCGTCTGTCATCTTTTTGTGGTATAGGGGAGCTCCTTGTTCTATCAGCATCTGATGAGCTTGATAAATCATTATCAGATGCTAAGGTCATAGAATGTGCATCCATATGAGCATCAACAGAGTCTAAATTTGATTCAGATACTTTTGAGATGTTTATAGAAGAAATATTAGATGAAATGGCATGAACATCATGATCAATTAGTTCCTCTGCTGTTGCATGGCTGCCTGACGCACGAGATTGATTATATACAGGAGAAGGGGTGCGGGGAAAATCTTCCTACAAATTTACCAAGAAAATGATTCAAAACACAAACATTAAAAAGTACATGCAAAAACCAATAACTTATTGGCATAGTGATAGATAATAAATGATGATTACAAATATACAAGTCAGCTCCTGATGATAGTGAGCAAAAACATTCCCCAGTATGAACACATTGCTCAGAACATGTAAAGTTCAACCCAATTAATTAGTCAGATATTTCTTCAAAGAAATTCTTTGACTGATATTGGTGTCAGGTTCATAAAGAAAATTGTATGATCTGAACATCCAAATTAAAAAAATGTGAAACATAAAACTATAACAAAAAAAAAACAAAAAAACAACAAGAAGACACATCCAACCACAAAATAATT